CTGTTGAATTTTGCACTCTCGCTCGCTTGCTTGCTTGCGAGGCGTTTGGGAGGTAGGGTTGGGCCCTACACCCCCTGTGCTCTCTCTCTCTCTCTCTCTCTTTCTCTTTCTCTTTCTCCAGGCTTGAGGGCATGCCCCTTCGGGAGCAGCCCGTCTGTTGAAGGGATGCACGGTAACCTGCGAAAATTGGCTGTCCCCTCCACGGGCGGGCTTGTAACACTACTATAACAACACGACGACTTTATTGCCCATGCCCCTGTTGCTGAGTGAGAGAGCTCATGATGTGTTCTCAATGGCTCTTTGGATGCCTCGCCCCGAACCACAACAGCACTCTCAGCATAGCCTATACAAGCAAATTCACACACCTCTGGGCTCAGGCATCAACTGCAGCGATCGTTGCTACTCCGGTGGCTGGCTCAACTGCTGACTGGTTCAACTGCTGGGCACGACTCGTTCTCAACGACTGCCGACCTGCCGCGCCCCGGTTGCTACAGTTCGGTTTTCTCTCTCTCTCTCTCTCTCTCTCTCTCTCTCTCTCTCTGCTTTGCTCAGGGGTGTGGGCCGCAAGCAGTCCTTGCGACCCGCGCGTTTGCGTTACCCAATCCAACATTTTGTACGGATGGGCTTGGCTTTACACAACACAAGGGTTGAGCGGGTGCCTATGCGGTTCGAAAACGCGTGCCTCGGGTTACAAAAACATGCTCTCATTTGCGGCCCCGCTAGCCTTGTGCCAACCACTGTGGCACACCATTTTGTTGTATGAGGAAGCAGTAGTATGGGGTTCCCTCGGCACTAATTACAGAGTTCCCAAATGCAGCTGGGCTCTCTTTTGTGCGTGACTGAAAAGGTGCTCGGATGGTGTAAGAAACGGCCTCCGGCCGTATAAGGACTACTGCAAAAGTATCGGAGAAAGGGCAGGTGCCCCGTGCAGTGGCATGTATGCACTTTGACAAAACTCTCCGAGCCATTAGTTACAGCGCTTTCGCTCAGTTGTGCTCGCAGTCCTGGCCCCCTTTCTCTCACGGCCTGGTTGGTCCATCTGTGTTGCCAGCCGGAGTACATGTCGTGCGAGTGCACCGTGTTGTGGTGGGTCTCGAGGCTCCGCAACTCTGGTGCTTCCCGGCACTTGGGTCCTCTTCGCCTGTCCCATCCACTCGAACTCTGGGTTGACTCGGCTTTGCAGTGGGGCTGGTGCCCGGTTGCCGTATTGGGTATACTCTGCGGCGGTGAAACTCCCGAAGCTCGTGCTGCTCCTGCCTGGACGGGATTGGTTCCCCGCAGGGTTCCCGTCTGGTGTTCCGTAGGCCCTCGTGTCTGCTCGGGCGGTTCCCAGTTGAGGATGTGGTCGAGTGCCTGGTCGTCTCAGGGTCCCTGAGTCCCTTTGCCGCATGCCCGTCACACATCTGCGTTGGCTGCGTTGTGCGAGTTGTCCCCGAGGATGATGCCGATGGTCGCGGCCTTGTCCTTGGGCTTGTGGACGACGGCGAAGACGAGGAGGAGCTGTGCCCTCTTTCTCTTCCTCGTTGTGGTGGTCCTCCGGGGTGTGGTAGTGCGCCGGCACGGTGCCGGTCTGGACTTGCTTCTGGGCATCCCCTGAGTTGCCTTTGGGCGGGTACCCGAAAAGGCGCGAGCCCGTCGTGTGGTAGGCGAAGCCGTTCTGGTAGTAGAGCATGGTCTGGTAGTAGAGCTTGGTGTCGATGTAGTCCTGGTGGTCCTCGTTGCCGGAGGGCTTGGGTGGCCTGGCCTTGGTTTTGGTAACAGGGCTTCTCCTGGATGGCCTGGTCGGCCCTGCTTTCCTCTGCGACAGCTTGTTGTAGTTGTTTTCGGGCTGCTCCTCCTCTAAGGCTGGTGCCCTTCAACACACAGTTTGCCTCCTTTTTCCCGTCCAGGTCCCACCAAACATCGAGGGCAGGTCCTGACTCCATGTGCCAGTAGGGTGTCCTGCTTCTTGGTGGCCGTGGTTGCAGGTTTGTGCCGGCTCAGTGGAGGTCTCGGGTCCTCCGACTCATCGGGTGTACGTCTCCTTCTTGGTGTCCCTGCCACTGTCACGTCCGTTCCCGTGAACTTGTCCCCCTCCCAGCGCGGTCGTAGAGCTGCGTCTCTGACTGGGTGTCCTCGGAAGGGTGCTGCAAGGTCGCCGTCTGCTCCCCCGTCTCTACAAGAAGGTCCTCTTCCGGACGAGTGTCAACAGGATCGCCTCGAGTTCCTCTGTGATGTGCCATGTCTGGCCGACCCCTCGGGCCTTTTTGGGTTCCTCACCAGGGGTCCCGCGTGACAAGGGCCAGTTTCAGGGCGGGACTTTCGCAAACCTCCCTTCGTAAGCCGATGTCGCGGCGAGTGGCCTCAAGCCCCCCACCAGGTCCCTCGGGTAACAGCCGGGTTCCCACAAGGGTGAGAGACTTGTGGCTACGGAACTCTCTCTCTCCTTTTCGCTGACCCAGACATAGAGACTGTTCAAAGCCCCCGGGTTCAAAGCCCACCCTCCATTTTTTATTGGGATAAATGGGAGGGAATAGTTCCCTTCGGCTAACGCCCTAAAGTATGTTCGTACACTTTCAGACACAAACACGCTCTCCTCAGCGTTCCACGATATTGTAAAACGAAATAACCTGACAAGAACAGTCGTCCTGGAACACTGCGCCCGGCTGCTTTGCATATCTATCCTGTTCTACAAGTCAAGTCATGGGGCCAAGATTCTGCAGTGGACTCTGGTTTGGGGAGGTATTGGTTGTCACGGAGCTGTTCTCCCTCGAGTTCACAGTGGCAGAACCCTAAGGGCACATCACGATTCAGGCTCCCTCTCTCTCTTGCTTGCTTGCTTGCTTGCTGCGGGTCAAGGTCCAGGCAGGCTAGGCGGACCCGCGCCAAGGTGCACCCCACCCTCTTTAGGTTCACAGAGCAGAGGCCCCCCGGGCCTTGCAGTTGATCGGGCTGTGGGGTTTCCAGGGTGGGTGTGGACCCCGGGGGCGGTACTAAGGGATTCTTTCCCGACGAGCACCCCCCACCCTCCCCAGTCCGCCTGCAAGGGCGACAGTACCGATGCTCCTTCGCGGGCTCAAAACGCTTGACATCCTGCTGCTGTATTCCATCGGACACGACAGGGGAGTTGCGGGGTACCTACTTGTCGCACGACTCCCCAACATTGCTGAGAACACGCAGCAGGAAGGACAGACCCCAGACTAATCGTGCGCATAGACATTCGCCGTGGTTACAGTGACGGTGGAGTTGCTTGTACAATGGACGCCAGCAAGTTGGTACTGCTCACGCGAGATTGAGGCACGGTACTCTACTTGATCCAACTCCAACACAGGTGGCAGCGATGGTGCTCCCTGTTTTGCATCCAACCGGGTCGTAGCAATGGGGCTCCCCGCTTTACAATCATACTCCCCCCCCCTCCCCTGGGTCGTAGCATTGGTGCTCCCCTTCCCCACTCACGGGTCGCAGCAATGGTGCTCCCCGACAACTGCCAGACTGTATATGCAAAGCCGCACTTTCGCGCAAGACATCGCAAGACGTCATCCTGGGGCGCAGGTGGTAGCGTTGGTGCTCCCTGATTCACGATTCACTTTGTATTCAACGGGTACAGTTACAGCACCCTGCGAACTTTGGGAAGGCCACATACCCTGATCTGGCACACCTCCTTTTACCTCGCGATTGAGCTCCAGGTTATTGTGGAAGGGGCGGAGGGTCCTTTGTTAGTCATGTCGAATGGTAGTCGGTACTATCGACGTGGAAGACGCTCCAGGTACTTGCTGCTACCGCACCGTGTGCTGAGGATGTCCTGCTTGCAAATCATCAAACCACGGCTTTCGGATCGCATACTGTTGGTCCCTTCCCACTTCCATTGTCTTCCTGCTGCTGCCGCTGCTGCGTTTGCTCTGCTTCGCATGGGGCCATGACGCTTGCGGAGCCCCATGCCCCGTTTGCGTCTTAACCCTTCGGGGCGGAGACAACGCGGGTGCCCGTCTCCTTGCCAGGAGTCGATCTCTCTCTCTCTCTCTCTCTCTCTCTCTCTCTCTCTCTCTCTCTCTCACAGAGCAGAGGCTTTGGGGTCCTGTGGATTGATCTTCAATCCCAAGGCTTGTACGTTTGGTAGTGACCGGTTGCTGTTATCCCCCGACCCTTTACATCAACGCGCATCCCGGCCTCATCCCCGCGCCCACTATGGCTAAGTCCTTGGTCCTTGCAGCAACCGGTTTCCCCCCAAGACGTAAAAAGTTGCTGCTCCGTTCAGGTTAACACAACCAACAGCAAGAAAGACTAAGCTGAGGACCGCGACGACAGAAAGTATCACTGCAAGCGAATGGCGTTCCCCCGAAACTAATTCAGAAGGTACATTGACTGAGTTTGCCAGGAGTGTTGTTGAGCCTTTGGCTATGCACGCAGGCATTGTGGGGATACAGTGGTAAGTACATCGTCTTGCTTAGGCTTACCTTCACACGGGTACCAAACACCATGGTCTCAAGCTGCGGCTCTCTCTCTCTCTCTCTCTCTCTTTCTTGCTTGCTTGCTTGCAAGGGGTGTGGGGTGGGAGCGGGGCCCCCTACCCCTGCGCGCAGCGCTACGCCCGGTGTCCAGGTCTGTCTTTTGGTGAGACTGTGAGGGAATGGGACATGCTGAATTGGGGCAAAAGCCGAATGCTTCCAAGCTCTGTAGCCTAATGTGTACATGTGGCCCCGCCTTGTTCAACACGCTCGTATCGGACTTATCGGACCCCACTCCGTATTTGTACTGAAGCCCCTTCTCGCCCTCTCCTCTCCTCTCCTCTCCCTCTCTCTCTCTCTCTCTCTCTCTCTCTCTCTCTCTCTCTCTCTCTCTCTCTCTTCTTCTTTCGCGGGGCATGAGGGGTCGCTGAAGCCCCTCGGCCTTCAAGGCCCCCCCCATGTTCGTGGGGCCTGTGGACGAGCGTGAAAAGTATAGTTTGTCCCCCTGTTGAAGAGTTCAAGGGCATGATTTCATAGCAAACAGGGTTCCACAGTGCCACACTTGTTCAAACAAGGTTACTTGGGTCGGGGGTTCGTTTGGCAACACCGGACATCAGATGAACATATATTTTTAGCTTGCTCTCTCTCTCTCTCTCTCTCTCGCTCTCGCTCTCGCTCTCTCTCCCTCTCTCTCTCTCTATCTCTCTCTCTCTCTCCCTCTCTCGCTGCAGTGGCAAGCCTCCGCTGCTCGGAATCCAAGAAGAAAACAGCATATGGCACAGCAGCGTTCGTCCAAGGCAGGTGCTCATTCCACATGTCACTGTCATTACTACCCATGTGCGGCGGGTAACCTGCGCGAGCTTGATGCATGCTCTACCAACAGACTCTGCGCAGCACCAGCAGAGCAGCAGACTGCCGCACCTGGTGGCTGTGTCATCCGCTGGATCTGAGCGCGGCCGCGGAGGTCCTCGCAGGCGAGGACCAAAAGGCCAGCGGAAGAGCGGGCCCGGGTTTGGGAGTTTGGGCCTTGTAGAAGCGCTCCAGGCTTGCCTGATGCGACATGCGATGCGAGCGTCCGCTGCGCTGTGCTCCCGCCGGGAGCCTCCTCCTCGGTCTGCCTCTCTTCGGCCAACTTCTTCTGGATCTGAGCACCCAGAAGCTGTTCAACTGTTCAACTCTGAACTGCGTTCTGAACGAGGAATCGAGAAGCCAACATTCTGCACCCAGGCTGCTTGGTCTCTGCGCTCCACCACACAGTCCTGTAGCTCGTGCGAGTCTTCTCCTTAAGAAGCTTCGAAGCAGCACTGTAATACCCAAGGAAAAACAGGCAGAGCCGAACCTCAGTAACGAACAAGCATTCAGTTCCGGCGGTTCCGTATCAAGCGACTCTCCTCGATCCACTGCCTGTCTGCACTCACGGGCTTGATGCCCCGGTTGGCCAAACTCTCCTGCACCTTGGGCAAATGTACATCCGATGCCACTTCTGACACACCCCCACTTGCCTTGATCCACATCTCGAGCTCCACCTTGGATGGACGAGCGTTTCTGGGTTTCCCACTCCTTTCAAAGGGGACGGTGCTGCCATTGGAAAGAGCTTGACAAGCTCCATCTGCTGCCTGTGACGAGAGAGGGACGAAAGAACACGAAATGTGCAGAAAGGGGAAAAGTGCCTTCAGGGACCCCTTGCTGGCCTCTCTGCGATGCTCAGCGTCTCTTGGCACTCGAAGCCGATGCATTTCAGCACGGCATAGATCTTGGCTCGGCCTGGGAGTCTCTTCGCTGAAGTCTGGGCCTTCCTCTACAATTCCTGTCTGAGCGTCCTGCAATCCTCCAGAGGCAAAGCAGAGAGGGTCACATGATGGTTCGCATGACCCTTTTCTTGGGAAACTGAGAAGACTGGGCCGCTCCCGCAGTCCTGTTCAATGCCGCTGGAGAGCCACTGTGATCCTTGCCGCTGCTGTGCGGAAGCCGGGGCCTTCTCGAAGGCCTGGGCGGCCGGGCGGCGCTGTGCGCCGCTGCGCTGTGCTGTGCGGCAGGCCTCGCCTTCTGCGTTCTTCCATGGCTGGCCGTCGTTACGCTGGTTCCAGTGCCGGCAGTGTCTGCAAAGTTCTTGGCGTGTCGGAACTTCCCCGCGAAACGGCCTGAGGAGGAGAGGCACATGAAGGGCGCATGAAGCTGGGGTGAAGGCTGAGTGTTGCAGCTGGTGCTGGTAACGGTGCTCTCACCGTCATCGATCAGTTCACCAAGAGCCTAACCAAATCGGACTTCTATTGAAGTCTCTTCTGCGACGCTGGCAGTGAGGTTCCAGCCAGGGTTGGTGGTGCACGAGGATTCAGCGGCTGTTCCTTGGCATCCGAGTGCTCATGCACAACAATCCTCTTCCCAAAGCGTGACCGCCGGGGTGCCAGGTCACGTATCACGCCGTCCGGAGCCAAATTCCCTGCGGCCTGCGGGCTGAGCCGCGCATTGCAGCATTGCATGCTACTTGGGCCCCCCCCCATCACCCCCATGGGCGCCTGCTGCTCACACTGCCAAAGCTCTAGGAGGAGTCTCAGTGCACCCTTCATGGTCACCTGCAGACTGCGAACTGCGAGCGTCGCAGGGCGTCGCAGGGCGGTCTTGGGTCTTGGGAGCTCCTGCGAGTTCCACTGCGTGAAGAGCTTGGCGGCCTGAAGTGCGACGTCTTCGACTCGTACGGCTGACGGCTGCAGCCCTGCAGCCCTGCCTTCTTGTATTCCATAAGATCTGCCAGGCATCCGATGATCTGCCGCCTTGGATGCTCTGCTGAGAGGACATCGCGGCGGTATCTAGTAATCTAGTGTCTAAACAGCTTCTGGGAGACGTGAGTTAGCTTAATCTGAACTCTCCATCTCAACGGAGAATTCTGCATTTAGGCGGTGTTATGTCGTATTTGCATTTGCCCACCCACCCACCTACCCCCCATCACTGAGCCTTGACTCGACATGTAGAATCCACGCCGTGAACCATGTTTCTATGCGAAGGTTCTGGATAGGAGCACAGTCTGTAGAACTGACATCAAAAATACCCGCAGCAGCAGCAGCAGCAGCAGCAGCAGCAGCAGCAGCCGCACTGCGTCCTGTACCGTCTGGTAGAGGTCTCCAAAGGCTTTCTGGCGCACTTTGCCCGTTGCTAGCGAAGGCAAGCAAGGGCACCAGTCTCACTCTGAGGACGTCGAGGAACTGCAGAGGCAAAGGCTTAGTGCCTTACGGCCTTACGGCGGGCTATGACGTTCCGTCCTTACAATGGACGTAGCAGTGGCGTTGACACTCGGTGCAAACATCAACAAGCTCCCGGCTGGACGAGAGAGCAGAGAGAGCAGCAGAGAGAGCAGCTGAAGAAGGAGCGTGCTTCCTTTAGAGACTCTCTCTATCAGTGCAGACACGGGAAGGAGATGCTCCGGTGGATGACCCGGTTTAAGCTTTGTTGTCAACAGGATATTCGAGTCACACGGATGGACACCTGAACGTCTGGCACATCTCTCGAATCTCCAGTAGAGTGAGCACCACGAGAGCGCAAGCGGAGAGACGGCCAAAGAGATGTCTCGTTTGAGAGCTCTCAGACCTGATAGGAGAATATCCATTGCCCGAGCTTATGTCTTGCAAGAGAGCAGTAGAAAATCTGGCACCTGCCAGCACTCCAACTCTTACGGAAGGAGAAGCTTCGTCGTTGAAGAAGGTTATCTGGATACTGTCGCCAGGGAATGACGGTTCCAATGAAGACGGATGCGAAGAGGCGGAAGAAGAAGCTGCCGGAAAGGCACGGGCAAGGGTCGCAAGGGTCAAGCGACGGTCTAAGAAAGGAAAGGCCCACCAGCTGCCAATAACCAAGATGAAGATCCTAGCGGAGGCTCTTGATGGCAAGACGACGAGTGGAGCAACGTCTGGCAGGAGCACTTGTCCTTAGTCCTTCTCCTTAGCGTTGCCCTTCCCTCCTGCTTGGGCTGCTTAACGCTTAACCGCTCGGGCTGGGCTTTGCCGGTCTTTGCCACGCTCGTCACCAAGATGCTTCAGGAGCATCGGGGCCACCTCGAGGCAATCGAGGAGTGCGAAAAGCCCACCTCGTTTGCGGGGGGGCACACGACACGACTCGAGGGTTTCTCTTCAGTGAGCCAACGTACCAACAACAGCTCAACACTTCTGCTTCCACCTGCGTCCAAGAACCGGATCTCGTTCTTGCGGGTTCCTACGACGGCGTTCCACACCTCACGAATGCAAGCGGCCCCAGATGAGGAAGCGAATGCTCTGAGCCCGGTGCACAATCCACCACACAAAGGCTGTAGAACAGGTGGTTGTCAGTGGTCTCACCGGGCCGGTAGACGACCTCAAATCAAGGCTTGGCTCTATCTGGCTCGATTGCCTTGCAGCTCTCCGCCGTTCCCCCCTCCGCTCCGCCTCATCACGCATGGCCTCGACGCCGTCCTTTTTCCGGAATTCGCGAGCATTCTCGGGGTACTCCTTGCACCTGAAAGCGACGGCTAGCACTCTATGTGAAATCCAGACAACCGTAGCTGCTTCAGCAGCTGGACTGGTTATCCCCCTGGGCGTACCGCTCTGCTTGTCTCTGCCAGAATTCTGGGGGCACGCCCAGGCACAGAACTGGGGTCGGCACATGGTCGCCAAGACCGAGGCGCACATTTGCCTGGAGGTCATGGGATTGTCCTCGGCGAGGGTGAATTTGTGTTCTTGTCATCTTCCCGCTCAATTCGGGCCTTGTCCGTAAAGAGCTCCACTAAAGTTCCCACGGCTCCAAGCTGACCCAGGTTCTGCAACGCGCGAGTTTTCCATCAAGAAAAAAAGCGCCACTGCAGTGTGCAAGCATCGCAGCATCTCTTCACTCCTCGGCAAAGTGTGGGCCCATGCGCACAGCGACCTCGGCGGCGTGCTCGGCGGGTTCGACCCATCTTACAGACACGGTTTGCATATGTTCGCACCTGCAGTAGGTGGAGACACTTCTTCTGAACTTCTCGGCTTCGAGTTGCCTAGAGAGCATCAAGGCCCGGCTGTCGACTTTCGGTGAAGTAAAAAGACTGAGACTCAAGTTCCAGTTTGATCTGAAGTTGTCGGTAGCACCAGCCCGATACGACGCACAATGAGACCCGGCCTGAAGCAACTGCAAGACCATAGCATTGCCTTGTGCCTCCATGAAGGCATCCGGCACGTATTGTACCTCCGGCGGCCGGAGCCCAGGTGTGCACAGGAGCCCATGCTGCGCTCCGCTGCGCTGAGCTAAAGACCAGCTGGAACAAGGAGGACAAAGCTTCCAATTGCACCTGATGCAAAACTCCATCATGTCAGTGGTAGTCTAACTGTCTCACCTTACAGCCTCATGCACAGCACCGCGAATCGCGAACTCCGGCGACTAGGTTAATGCTCTCTTCGTGCTTCCAAAACTGGAAACAAACGGCGCCTGTCGCCGTTGCTCTTGGCTCCACTTCTCCGGCGGTGCCTCGGCCTCAGCTTGCAACAGGCTTCCAATCACCGCATTCGGCAGGGCTGGGTTCCGCGGCATCCAAGCACTCGAGGAGGGACTCCACGAAACCACACTGCACGGCTGCCTGCTGGTTGAAGGGACTGCAGGGTGCAGGTTTCCTCCAGTGGGTTTCCTTCTTCCTTGCTGCTCCGCATCTCCGCGGCGCTGAGAGGAATGCGCAGAGCGAGGAGAGAGCAAGGCAGCAAGGAGCTGAGCTGGGTTTGCGTTCCGCTCAAACAGAGGCTGTGCCTCGGCACATGGCTCGGAGGAACAGCATCGAGCCAGGGTGCCCCAAAGCAGGGTGCGGAATTCCATGTCCTCGCAGCAAACAAGAAGGAAGTGCCCTTCGGCTGCATTTCCTGAGGAGGCCTCCTGGGTGTTGGTGAGGGGTATGCCCTTGGAGGCCTGGCAAGACGGCATCCAAGCCTAGCCTGATGCTGCTTTTGTGTTTCGCAATCGCCTTGGCACCATCGCCGAGGTCAGGCAACACACGGGCCTGCACGAGACCCCCCCTCTCTGCTTGAAGAACTGCCAGAAAGCGACTTCGGGCCTCTCGCAAGTACTTCTCCTAAGTTGTCATTGAAATCGCTTGCTGAAGTGCTCGTGGATCTCAAGCGCTGCTGAGGCTCCAAAAAGCCGCTCTGCAGCAGCTCCCTTCGCCGTGCCTCTGACACCTGGGCTTCGCCATTCGCCCTCGTCTAGAACTGGCTCTTTTGGCAAAACAAAACAAGGAACAATGACATCTGTCTCACAGGCGAAGCAGCACGACTTCATGCATTTTGTTTCTTTGAGCCAAAGGGACGGCATAGCTGAGGAGCAGCGCCATAAGCCTGGCAGCTTGAATGCTTTGATGCGCTTTGCTCCACAGCCGTAGCTGTTGGCTGCAGTCCACGGTGCGCACCCCGTGGAGGCGAAGAGGGTGCGATTTTCGACGCGCTTGGAGATGTACATGAGGAGGACCATCATGTCGTTCCGAAAAATCTTGTCCTGGGTTCGTGGCAGGCAAGGCGGGCTCCCGTTTTCTGTGCACTGACTTACGTGCGCCTTAAACCGGTATCCGCGGGTAAGGACTGCATTCATGAAATCGCGGAAGGACTCGATGACCTGATCGACCCTCCCATGTCCCGCCAGGTGCAGCACCAGGCAAGCATCGACACGCAATTGTGGCCGCAGGAGGCATAATTTTAATGGCGAGGTCTACAAGATAATCAACTCCGGTCGCTCAGTTGGGCGAAACATGGGGCCTCTGTAGTAGAATCACTGTAGAATTAAGTGAGCGCGCAACTGGTTTTAAGCATGCAGCAGCTCAAGCACAACTGAGCCCGTCATGGTGAAAAGAATTCAAAGCAGCATTGCGAGCCGGTACAAGCCAGGCAGTGGTAGTGGTGTTTTTTTTGTCCGTTCGTTCGCCACTTTTGCCAGCCTTTGCATCTGTTTTACCAAGGTCTGCCATATCACAGCATCATACGTACGTACTACGCATAATGTCCACAAGAATTTTTTTCTTTGCGAAGGGGCCTGCGGTCTGCTACCTTTAGTCCTTCTGGCTCGTTCGCTTTTGCTCACTTTCTCGCTCACTCACTCACTCACTCACACACTCACTCTTTCTTTCGCCAGGCTTGAAGGGCGAACCCCCCGCTGCGGGCAGCACACTCACTCACTCACTCACTCACTCTCTCACTCACTCTCTCTCCCTCTCTCTCTCTCTCTCTCTCTCTCTCTCGCTCTCTCTGCCTCTGTTAAGTCACATGAGTTCAAGAATGCACGTAATGAACATGACGCATTTATGAATGCTCTGATGCCGAATGGCTCAAGGCTCAAGACTGGTGCGAACGGTTTGACGTCACGAAGGACTGTCTGCTTGACTGAGTGAAGACCTGGGGAAGGTGATTGATCTTGGTTGCTCGGGTACTTAAAAATTGTATAGCTGACTTTTGCATGGTAGCGGAGCTTCGGTTCCTGAGACAGGGGAAGACGGAAAGAGAATGGACGTCGGAACAAGATGGACTGGCGGAGAGATCAAACTTTTTCCTTGGCCAGTGTATCATGGTGAGATGGAGAAATGGGAAGAGCGGTCGTGGCATCTGAAGCGATATGGAAGACTGCACCATCCACTGGCAAACTGTTGTTGGATGATGTTGATGGAGCCGACCGCGCGATTGATGATGACCCGTGCGAGGCGTCCGGTGTTCAGCAGACGCGCACACAGAATGATCAGCTTTCGCTGTTCTCGCCGCAACTGGCGTGCATGCTTGCGCCAATCACTGATGGTGCGGCGAGAGCGATTGCTCGAAATGAGGACACGGAGCATGCTTTGAGAGTTGGCGCAGACTGCACCAGTAGTTTGCACTGCCAGAAAGAGCAAGGTCCAGGAAGAAAAGGAAAAGGATGCAAGGGCAAAGGTAAAGGAATGAGCAAAGGATACAAGGACAAGGAGAAGGAATGACAGGAAGAAGTCAAGGACAAGGATGAGGACGGGATGTTTTCTGCGCCGACGGTGACTGAAGATGAGGACAAGGAGATTGTTGGCATGATGACTGGAATCAATGGAATCCGGATGTCTGGTCTAATGATGATTGGTCCTGACAGGAAAGTGACTGGAACGCTGAGTGGATTGGCTCTCTTGATGACTGGTCCGGTGACTGGTCTTGGTATGAAGATGACGGGAGCTTTTGGCCTGAAGGCTGGACCTGGAATTTTCAGGACTGGTGGAGTCCGGAAACACAGCAGAGCTCGAATGGCGACTCGAGCTCACAAGCTAATTGTCCCTCCTCAGGACGCCGTCAAGAATGAACCGCCACCAAATGTTTCAGCAGTGACTGTCGAACCCTCGGATCCGAGTGCGCCCAGAGTCGGGAAGACTGTCCGTGGCGCAAAGTCAGGGCTGATGACGAACTTGTTCGTTGGAGCGTGCTTGTTGATTGGTGCACTGAGTTCTGGAGCGCCTCCGTTGCCGACTCCAAGTGTGCCGAATTTGCTGAATTTACTAGAAAATGATCCGATTGGGTGTAATGACAGCCTGGTTGAGTTCCACATGCAGGCTGGACTGGTCGACAAGACTTGGATGCTGTTCGGCAGTGGTGCTTGCGCGAACTCATGAGGGCGCACCCTCACTGCGGAGTTTGTCTGAGAAGATATTGGAGGTGCAAGGTCGGAAGATTGTGGGGCTTGACACTCGTTGTACGTGTGCACTGGCATACGGTTTCGACTGGTCAGTGCTGCGCGACTGTTGTTGCAAGATTTCTGGAGTTTCATGGCGAAAACCATCTTGCCCCGAGCCGTGCCCACCAAGTTGCACCGAAGGCCACTCACAGTGGATGCACTGGTGCTCTTGCGCGTGCGCGCACAGCCAGCCCAGTCTGAAACCACGCAGCCATTTACACTGCTCTGGGAGAGTGAGTTTCCGCCCGAGGCCGAGAAGACAAGAATGATGAAAGAGATGAACTCAATGAAGAACTTCGACGTGTCTGATGAGGTGAAGATTGAGGACTGCACCCATGAGCAGATAGATGAGGCCCTCGACTGCAGGTGGGTCAAGGTCTGGAAGGATGAGACTGCGCCTAGGTGTCCAAGGCTTAGGCGCAGAGTTGTCGTGGTTGTTTCCAGAATGTTGAGAAGAGGTCAGCGCTGCCTTATTGCATGCAGCAATGTTAGGTGAAGTGCTTGTTTGGCCGCCGACGGAATTTCATCCTGATGGCAAATGCCTGTCTGCCCGTGGAGGTTGAGGTAAGCTATGTACGGATTGCGACAGGCACCCGAGGCAAGCACACTTTGCCGAGGTAATGACCTCGACATTGGGATTCAGAAGGTGCAAGTCAGATCCGGATCTGTATTGCCACGACTCTACAAATGGCATGTGCTTGCATACGTCGATGGTTGTAGGGACTGGTGAAATGAGGAAGTCCTTCGTGTCTCAGCTTTCTGAAAAAGTGTTGCTCAAAGAGACTGGCCAACTGGTGCCAGGGCCTGAGCATATCCTCCTTGGAAGGCGACAGCGACACAATGGTGAGTCGATTAATGTGTGCATGTCACAAACACACATTGATTCCATTCTGGATCTGTGTGGCATGAAGAATGCCAAGCCGGTTGCAACGAGCCATAGATGGTCGAGTTCGCCTTCCTTGCCATTCACTTCCACATCGATCTTCGTGCCATCCTTTCCAACAGCCCCATCAACTCCAACAGTCGCAGGAAGCCTGTGCCTCGCGCTTTTTCACTCGCCTCAACAGCTTCACACTTTCATTTGCGTCACTCGCATTCCGAAGGATCACTTCATCAGCTTCTGTGTCCTTTGCAACGTGCCTTCCAGTGATCCTGCGTTGGGAACACTTGCCTGCCCACTCACATATTTTTTTGCATCACACCAAACAAGCACAGCGCTCCACCATAATCTCCATTCCACTCAACTTCAAGGCAAACGATTCTTCAACTCGGCACAGCAGTGTCCGCAGTTGCGAGTCCTTTGGGCATTCCCGACACTGCCTTGGCTTTGGGAGTGTCCAGTCGGATCTCATCGTCTTGCACAGGTCAGGTGTTACTGACTTCAGTGGCGCTTCCTTGCCATACTGGACGACCCCAAAGACAAATCTTCTCAACTCGGCCACGCCTAATTTGTCAATGCTGCCTTTTGAAAGCGAACTACCGCCATTGAATACCCAGTCTGGACATCGGTGGCAACACGGTCCTCTTCGGCAGGTCACTCTCGGCCACCATCTGGAGCACTGTCTGTCGATCTTTCTTTTTCACTGCGTGACACTGCCTGCCTTTCGACTTCACGCAGTGCTCGCACCGTTCACTCTCCGAAGTTTCGCAAGGAACCTTGAGCATGCTCAGCTTCCATGCACTTCTGCCCTCAGTCTGATGCTCGAAACAGATACTTCACACTATTTGTGTGAGGGGCGCGGTGGGCCCGGCCATTTTTGAAAACATGCGGAGGATGCGTCTGGAGCTGGAGGGCTGACGGGATGGCTGGCGGAGGGTTGGGGAGGGCTGGAGCTGCAGACCACTCGAATCAACTAACAGTGTGTATCGATCACCACACAAGCAGTCACATTCAACAGTCCATCAACAGGAGAACTTGCATCATCAGGATGAAAGCAACACTCACAAGCAACATTCACGCCATTCATGGCGCGGTCTGATCCAAGATCAAGGGATACATCAACCAACGACCTGCAGTCCTTGGTGCTGCAGTCTCAGATGAACAGCTGCAGCAGCAACTCCTTCATTTTCGCACCATGCTGTGCCAGTGAGCGCAGAGCATTCTCAAGCTCATGGTCCTCATTGTTGCGACTCACTCTCACTTGTCTATCCAGTTCGGGTGTCAACCTGATTTTCCAGATTTGGGGCGGTCTTTTCCCTGATCTCGGGCCCCTCCCCTCCCCATCTCTCTTCTAGGGCTTCGGTTCCCGTCCCGTCCCCGATGTTTGCCTGGCCTGGTTTTTGCGTTTTTGCTGTGGATTTCACTCCCGGTTTTGGTCCCTGCAATTTGCCCTCCTTCACTTGTCGCTCCCCCAGGGGGCGGGTCACCGGTCCCACCGGTCCCATCTCTTGGTGTCCTTGTTTTTCTTGTGTTTTCGGTGTTTTAGGGCTTAGAGTTTAAGCCTTAGGTGTTAGGTTTGCTCGGGGTTTATCAGGGTTTTAGGGTTTAAGGGCTTTTTTTGGCTTAGGGTTTAAGGGTTAAGGTTTAAGGTTTGCCCAAGGCAAAGGGGAATAGGGTTTAGGGCTTAGGGTTTGTGGGGCTTGGTTTGGGTTTAGGTGGCTTCGGCTTCAGGTTTGGGGTTTCGACGCTCACACTCGCACGGCAAGGCTCCACAAGGTTTGAAGTTTAAGGTTTAGGGTTTCAGCTCAGGGTTAAGGGTTTAAGCCTTATTTTTCGGGTTTAGGGTGCTTAAGCTTTAGGGCCTACCTAGCCTTTATGGTGCTTCGGCTTAGGGTTAGGCTTTAGGGTTTAAAGCTTTGGGTCTTTGGGGGTTTAAAGTTTAGGGTTTAAGGTGTCGGCTTAGGGTTTAAGCCTTCGGGGTTTGGTTTGCTCGGGGTTTTGGGTTTTTAGGGTTCAAGGGTAAGGGCTTTTTTGGGTT